CTAGTTATTGTTTCGATGAAGGGGGGAATTTTTTCCGGGAACTTTGGGAGGAAGTTAAAGGGTTTGTCTTTTTGTTTCCTCTTTGTTGCTTCTGTTTTAATTTGTTTGGGTTCCTGCTAAAGAAAGGGAGCGATTTGGGGAGTTCGTTCTTTTCTTTATGTTTCTGGGTTGATGGTTCTGCGATTTAGTTGACAAATGTGAAACTGCCTTGGATTTCTACCATTCTTCTTGCTCTCCGACTTTGACATGTAGAGAAAAAGTTTTGAGTATTTTGTTTGACTAACAACTGGAAGATATATGTGAAAAGCTAGGAATGAGTCGCTCTATCACAGGATATTGTGGAAGAAGATAAGATACAAGCTTTAATGGGTTGGGTTGAGATGGAAAGATTTGCTTTAAAAAAACTCTACTTTTCGGGGAGATCAAGTGTTTATGAGAGGGACTAAATTGGCTTTTGAGCATGTTGGATGGTCATCTGCAACTTGGTCCTCAAGTGTTGATCAGAAAATTGACGCAAGTGGGGAAGAAAGATACTGACTAGTTTGCGAAGCTGCATCAAATAGTTTTAGCTGATTCTTCAGCTCTTATACTGTGTATGTGTTGTAAGTTTTCTTCTCACTAGTCTCGTGAGAAGTGGAGAAGCTGCACAGTTGGTGTTGGTACAAAAATCACAGGCTTACTGAAGCTTGCTTGACTCCAGGGTATATCTTTATGTCTGCAACCTGCTTGACCTTTTGTCTGATACATCGATTGTATCATTTGCAGGCTGCACTATACTTTGATAGATGTGGGGACTCCTCATGTCTCCTTCCTTGTCGCAGTAGATACAGGGAGTGATTTGCTCTGGGTGCCCTGTGATTGCTTGCAGTGTGCCCCATTGTCGGCCCGTTACTATGCCAGTTTGGTAAACCATCCTTCCCTTTTTTAGCTTGTTTCCCATTTGCTTCAAGTCATTGCCTTACTACTGATAAGTATCTGGGCTTTGAGTCGCTCGGAGTTCTTTATTGTTGTTTCTACATATTCTTTAGTGATTATATCTTTCTTGCCCGGGGCTGAAAGAGGGAACAAAAGTTCTATTGAAGTTTATTAATCTCTGCAATTTTCAGGAAATGTTGGATCCTATGTTCTGGTGCAAGAGTTCCTTAGATTATTTTACTCTTAGGATTCTCTGGGCGATCTTTGGTTCCTCTCAGTCTCGTCTGTTTTGAATGTTAATTTACTATTATGATTGGCTCCTGAAAATTTAAGATAGGTACATAAAATAATTAAGATTTGAAGTGTAATTTCTCTGCTAAGCTATGGGTAACCGGTTTAGCACTTATTTCCAATGATTGATTGGCAGGTGCTCCCTTGTATGTGGAGCATCTAATTGTGCAGGGTCAAGATCTCAATGCATATAGTCCATCTCAATCAAGTAGCAGCAAGCTCCTCGCATGCAGCCACCAGTTATGCGAACTTGGTTCTAAATGCAAAAGCCCAACTCAGCAGTGCCCATACTCTGTTGACTATTACTCCGAGAATACATCCAGTTCTGGCTTGCTGGTTGAGGATGTATTATATTTTGCCTCAAATGATGATCTTGGTGCATCAAATGCTTCTGTGAAAGCTCCGGTGCTCATGGGGTGTGTTTCATTTCTGTTCTTTCAGTTTCCTTATTCAAATTTTCAATTGTTATGCTGACTTATATCATATTTGTGCAGATGTGGCATGACACAGAGTGGTGGTTACTTGGATGGAATTGCCCCGGATGGTCTCATGGGTTTGGGGCCAGGAAAAATCTCAGTTCCAAGCTTTCTTGCAAAAGCGGGATTTATTAAGGATTCCTTCTCTTTGTGCTTCGATGAGGAAGATTCAGGGAAAATTTATTTCGGTGATCAGGGTCCGCATGCCCAACAGTCTACTCCCTTCCTAACTGCAAATGGAAATTAGTATGACCCATCTTAGCACTTTGAGTAGGATAAAAACTTTGTTGCCTTTTTAATCTGGTTGTAGTGTCAAGTATTTGCAAATTCTTATTGATTTATGGCTTGACTCAGCACGACCTACATAGTTGGAGTGGACGGGTGTTGCATTGGTGGTTCTTGCCTTAAGCAGACAAGATTCAAGGCACTGATTGATAGTGGTACATCTTTCACATTTCTTCCTGAGGATGTGTATGAGAAGACTGCTAATGAGGTAGTTACTTGTTGTATTTCTATTCAAGTGACTTTGGGGGTTTGCTACCATGCATTGTAGACTACATGCATATTAATAAATCTTGTGTTTTGTGAATGGAACAGTAGGGACGTGCGTAATGTTAAAATACAGTTTCTGGTTTAGGAATTGTAATGTGGAACCCACACAATTGTATTTCTATGTATTGTTCAAATCTTTAGGTGGAATGCATGATATCATGCACTTAAGAAATGTTGTTTCTTTGGGTGTGGAGGGTGGGGGGAGTTGGGGGGTTGGTTCCTACCATATTCAGACAATAAAAACGATGAATTGTGAGAAACCTTGTATATTCAGAATCAGTGGGAGCAATCCCTAGTTACCAAACAACCCTTAGCTTAATTATGTTTTGGCTACCTCTATACTAATTTCCTGGTTTTGTTTGTTAGTTTCACAGGCAGGTAAATTCTACTATATCAACCTTTGAAGGGTATCCTTGGAAGTACTGCTACAAGTCCAGGTAGTTAATTTGCTTAGACTAAAGAGCATTTGACAGCTTGTATGTTTCCTTTTTTTCTCTCTCTAAATGTTGGGTTTTATGAGGACAGCTCACAGGACTCCCCAAAAATACCATCAATGAAGCTCTTGTTTGCAATGAACAACAGCTTTATGATCCATAATCCTGTTTTTATGGTATATGGCATTCAGGTAAGACATTATCTAACAAACATAGCATGTAGCTCGTCTATATTTTCTGTTGGTCTCTTTGTGCGGTGTGCTATCAACCAACGACGTAAGTCCTGTTGAACTTGGTTTGTGCAGGGTTTGACTGGATTTTGTTTAGCTGTTCAACCTGCTGATGGGGATATTGGAATTATTGGACGTAAGTTTGTACAGTGTAAACTTCTGCTCTCTGATTTGGTCCAATTCCTAGCTTCAACTCACACTAAAACTCTATGCAGTGAATTTCATGACTGGATATCGGATGGTGTTTGATAGGGAAAACCTGAACCTTGGCTGGTCTCGCTCTAAATGTGAGTTCTTAAACCCTTACTATTCTTCTAACAAATTAGCGGTTTTGTAACCTGTGCAGTGAGCAACACCGGTGCGGTTTAACTGCACTGAACCTCACTTGAACACTGTTTCACCCACTCCTAGATGTAGCGCTTGCACTCACATTTCCAAACCACGTAATATGCAGGCGAAGACGAGATCATCTGGGCACCAGGCAATCCATCGGGAAGTGCTAACCCACTCCCAACGAACCAGGAACAGAGGATTCCCGGTCAGCATGCTGTTTCACCAGCTGTTGCAGGTAGAGCTCCCTTGCGACCATCAGCAGCTCCTCCCTCAACGCGACGAGCATCACATTTGATGCAGTGGTTGCTGCCGTTGCTAGTGCTTTTCGTGTCTCCGACGTTGTGAATAAGGAAGGAAAGACTTTGATGCAGTACTCTCTACTACGCTAACTTCGGCTTTTGTATTAGATTAGGCCGCTCTACTTGTAAATTATGTATCGAAGCTATCCTATATGTATACGTGTATGTGAGTATCCAAGGCTTGTTTCATGACTCACCATGCTGCCCTAGGCTGGCTGGCTGGCTTCCTCTCCAATTTTGTATCATCAGTCTTCTCTTCCTCCTCACTATTATATATTTCCAGTATATATCCTATCGTCTTGGCTATTCTTTTACTTTGCCAGTGTTGTCGATTGATTGTCGTCAATCGTCATGTTTTTCTTTCTTCCGCATATTACACTGTATTATTCTCCATTTCCCACCTTTCTTGCATGTATGTTTGAAAGTCGCCAATGAATTTTTTCTGGGTCATATCTGAAAACCGTAACTATCATGATGGTAAGAATCATTTTCCGGGTCATATCTGAAAACCGTAAATAATAGAGCAACAGTAAAAACTCGGAGATAATAGAGCACAGTTCTGGGAGTTCGCTTGGCTCGACAAATGTGTGGGGAAGGAGCCTAAATATTTCCTGTGCTCCTTGCGAAACTATTGTTTTGATGACAGTCAAGACAGAAAAACATCATGAAAAAGAATGATGTGTAGGAATGACATGGTCATCCCGTTCCAAATAGATGCAGTGAGACAAATGCCTTACCATTTTCTGAACTAGTGAAAATGAACATCAAAGGACAGATTCCTGAAGGCAATCCAAGACTTGAAATCTCTTAACCAACAGAAATCACAGCAGCTTTAGCAGCAGCCAGTGAGGAGTACATGTACGACGCGCCCAACGAAAGGAACGGAGTGGAATAGCCAAGGCTCAGATATCCTGATGAACAAACAAACAAACCAAGATCAAAAGAGGCCACATTTCCTGACTTCCTGTAGCAAGAAAACCATGAAAAAATAGCTCATTGAGAACTGAAACTTCTGCTTACTCTGGCCTCTGGTTTATGATCCCATGCAAACGCAGAGGAGGAGAAATGGAAAAAGGGAGATGGCGTGGCGGAAGTTTGTGTAATCAGCTTTGCTCTCTGCCTGCCTTTAACAGAGCAGAAAGCTCGAATGGAGCTTGAAGAAGAAGTGCAGAAGTGCAGCAACGCTGACCGAAGAGCAACAGCTGAAGAACAGAAGAAGAACAGGGCAGAAACGTTTCATTTATGCCTTCCCCTCCACCTAGCTGCAGCGATGGTTAAAACGACGACGTGGAGACCTGAACTTACCGTTAGGTGGAGACAAGAGGTCAAGCGAATGAAGACACGTGGCGATCAGAGTTTATGTTTGTTTAAATTATAGTTTAACGGACAAATCAAATTTTACTGTTTAATTGTTCATTTCCCCTGTTGAACTCTAGTATAAATACAATCGATCTGAGACTTGAGCGCTTTGCGAGGTTCTCTACAATAATTGCTCGCATTCTTCTCCTTTCTCACAACCAGTGCAAGCCTAGCAGCTTGATTTCTCTTATGGTATCAGAGCAGTGATTCGTTTTTCCGCGTTGATCCAATTCGATGAATACTCCACCCAGCAGCTCTGGTAGTGGCGATGCAGAGATCCCCTTTGGCAGCTTCAACCGCAATGCTCAGAATCAACAAACCCAGTGAACCCAGCAAACACAGAACGATGCTCAAGCTCAAGTCTATGCTGGTAATCCTAACAATCAAGTGGGTTATGTGTTTGGAAGTCCTTACTATATCAATCCGAGTAAAAATCTAGGACAATCTATAGTCACAGAATTGCTAGATGAACACAATTATCAGATGTGGCAAAGGGTGTGCGAATGGTACTCAAAACCAAGCACGTAATTGGGTTTATTGATGGTAGCTTACCTATGCCACTCATCCTGAGTTTCTCTTGTGGGATGCGTCCAATACCATGGTGTTGTGTTGGATTCTGAATTCAATTGAAAAGGACATACGTCGTAGTGTATTGCAGCATGAAGTAGCACAAACTCTTTGGGATGAACTTAAGCAGAGATTTGGCAGCTGCAATGCACTGAGACTTGCTAATTTGAAAGGTGATATTGATCGTTTTAAGCAAGGAAGTCTGAGTGTAACCCAATACTATGTGCATTTGAAAGGGTTATGGGAGGAGTATCTCCAATTCAATCCTATTGTTGATTGTGACTGTCTGATAGCTAGAGTGAGACCTTGTGCAGCAGTTGAGGCTTTCAAGGAGAGACAAGAGACTGAATATCTCATCAAGTTTATTCGAGGGCTCAGACCTGAGTTTGATGTGGTGCAAACTCAACTTTTGATGATGAAGTCGTTACCCTCTGTGCAAGCAGCTGTGGATGACATCCTGCAACATGAACAGAAGCTTAAATCAGACAAAGGGTACCCTAATCGAAGTGTTCACTGAGTGGCACTTGCAGCTCAGGGTGAAAAGCAGAAAAACACTAGTTCATTTGAGCCTGGTAAAGGTGGAAAGGATGACACAGAGGTGGAAGGCAAGTGCCGCCGATATTGTAAGAAGAATGACCACCTGAAGGAGGAGTGTTATAGACTTAAAAACAAAAAGGCCATAATGGCAGGAGAGAACAGCTTTGCTGGTGTTGTCTCTCAGTCTGATTCAGAGAGCAAAGACACTGGTTCTACAGGAAGTAATCTGAGTCTGGAAACCAAAAGCAGTTAAAGTAGTCAGTGGTTCACTAATGAAGAGTTTAACAAGCTGAAATCCCTTCTTCAGTGTGAAAGCATGAGTCCCTCACCACCTCTCTCACCCTCACTCAAACATGCTGCATATTCTGTTTCTCAACATTTACCACAGTTCCCCAACTTTTCTAGTAAGTTTGTTCTATCATCTCACAATCAGTATGGGTTAATGGGACTTGCTCAAATCTGAATATTGGACACTGGTGCTTCAGATCATATCTGCTGCACACTTTCTTTGTTGTCTGATGCTAAACCTACAGAAAATCAGTTTGTTTATCTACCTAATGGTTCTAAAGTGCAAGTGAGTCACATAGGCACTGTTAGACTACATCTTGGCTTATATCTTCAAAATGTCCTCTTGGTCCCTAGTTTTACATTCAACCTCATCTCAGTTAGTAAAATTACCGGTGACCTACCTCTTTCCTTACACTTTGAATCTGACTCTTTTCATATTCAGGACCTAGTGACCAAGAAGCAAATTGGTTTTGCCAGACAAAGTAGAGGGCTCTACCACCTTTTCCCCAACATTCCAGCCTTACCTCAACACCACACAGCAGCCACCTACAACTTTCAACCTCACCAAATTGAACTCTGGCATTGGAGACTAGTTCACCCTAGTAAAGAGAGAGAACACCAACTTATTGGATTTAATAGGGCCATTGTTAGACATTGTGAGACTTGTCATTTTGCTAAACAAAGGAAACTTTCTTTCCCTATCAGTACTAGTAGAGCACATTCTGTGTTTGATCTCATTCATGTAGACATCTGGGGACCCCTTACAGTTCAGTCTTATGATGGTTATTCATATGTTCTCGCTATTGTGGATGATCATTCACGAGCTGTTTGGACTTATTTAATGAAATTGAAATCTGAAACAAGCAAAATCCTGGAAGCTTTCTGTGTGATGGTTAGTAGACAGTTTGGGAAGTTGGTTAAGGTTATTCGCAGTGATCAGGGAAGTGAATTTCACATGGCTAAGTTCTATTCCACTAATGGAATTGAACATCAAACCTCTTGTGTTGAGACTCCAGAGCAAAATGCTCGTGTTGAAAGGAAACATCAGCATATATTGAATGTTGCCAGGGCATTGAGGTTTCAGGCAGGTTTGCCTTTGACATTCTGGAGTGACTGCATTTTACATGCAGTTCACCTCATTAACAGGTTGCCATCACAAGTTATCCAGGATATCACCCCCTTTGAACTGCTCTACCATAAACCTCCTGTACTTTCCCATCTTAAAGTCTTTGGCTGTCTATCCAATGCTTATGCTTTGCTTAGAGATAGAACAAAATTTCACCCTTGGGCTAGACAGTGTGTGTTCCTTGGTTTCCTTCCTGGGATCAAAGGTTACAAACTGTTTGATCTCCATACCCATGATGTGTTTGTTTCCAGACATGTCATGTTTCATGAAACAATTTCCCCTTCAAACATACCTCTTCCCCTATTCCTTCCTACCTTTCCCCCCCTCTTCTTCTCATTCCCATCCTACATCTGACTTTCCCACTCAATCTCCTGTCCCAACTGATCATTTCTTTTCCTAGGTTGCTTCACCAAACTCTCAGAATACATCTCAGTCTCATTCTTCCTCTTTCAATCCTAATTCTCCTTCTATATCTCACACTCCTCCCCATCAGAATGCAGATCAGGCCAGTCAATAGTTGCGCTAGGATGATGATAAGAAGAAGGAATTGAGGTACTGGTGGAAGGAGTGTGAGATGTAGAAGGAGAATTAGGATGGAAAGCCTCAATTCCTTCTTCTTCTCATCATCCTAGCCCAACTATTGACTGGCCTGATCTGCATTCTGAAGCCTCAATTCCTTCTTCTTATCATCATCCTAGCGCAACTATTGACTGGCCTGATCTGCATTTTGATGGGGAGGAGGAACTGTGTGCTCAGGAACCTATTGATGATGGAGAGGATCCTGGATTAAGGAAATCTACCAGAATCAAAACCAAACCTGTATGGCACAAGGATTTCATGTTTTCAGGAGCTACCAGTAGTCACTCCATATAAAACTTTGTGTCATTTGATAAGCTTCGTGAATCCCATAAGGCCTTTGTGCTAATTGTAATGAATGCAGAAGAACCTAAGACCTATGCAGAAGCTTGTAAGGAATTGGTCTGGAGACTTTCTATGAATGAAGAGACGGATGCACTGATAGCAAATGACACTTGGGATGAAGTGATCTTAGCAGAAAGGAAGAAGGCCATTGACAACAAATGGGTGTATAAGATTAAACACAAAGCTGATGGTTCCATAGAAAGACATAAGTCAAGGCTGGTTGTGAAGGGCTTTACACAGGTTTATGGTATAGACTTCTTAGATACCTTTTCTTCCGTTGCAAAGATCAACTCAGTCAAGACTTTGTTAGCTGTTGCAGCATCACAAGATTGGCACATCCATCAAATGGATGTTTTTAATGCATTCCTCCATGATGATTTGAATGAGGAGGTTTACATGAAACCACCACCTGGAGTAGTTGTTTGTGAACCAAGGATAGTGTTTAAACTCAAGAAGTCCCTATATGGTTTGAAGCAGGCCAGTAGGCAATGGTTTGCCAAATTAACTGCATCACTGTTGAAGAATGGATTCTCTCAGGCTGCCTCTGACTATTCCATGTTCATCAGGAGGTTCCAGGGGGAGTGCTTGTGGTGCTAGTCTATGTAGATGACATCTTAATAGCTGGGAGTTCATTGAGTGACATAGAGCAGACAAAGGCTGTCTGGGAAAAGAATTTAAAGTCAAAGATCTAGGAGTCTTGAAGTTCTTCCTAGGGCTGGAAGTTTACAGAGATCACAAGGGAATCTTTGTAAACCGTAGGAAGTATTATATGGATCTTTTGGAAGATACAGGTGACATGGAAGCTAAGGATTGTCTCTCTCCTGCAGATTGTAAAGTTCAACTGAAAGCAAAGCAATGAGAACCTTTGACAAATCCTGAAGTTTACAAGAGGCTTGTTGGGAGGCTGCATTACCTGACAATTACACGCCCTAATCTTACACACTCAGTGCAGCAATTGTGTCAATTTCATAAAGATTCCTACACTGAACACTTACAGGATGCATATAGGGTAATAAGGTACATAAAGCATGCACTAGGTCAAGGCCTATTGTTCAAGAGTGGAACTAAACTAGAGTTGACAGGTTTCTCAGATTCAGATTGGGCCAGTTGCCCAGATACCAGGAGATCAGTGACAAGGTACTGTACCCTGCTGGGAGGCAGTTTGCTGACGTGAAAGTCCAAGAAACAAACCACAGTCTTGAGGTCCTCGTCCGAAGCAGAATATAGAGCCTTAGCTCATTTGGTCTGTGAGTTGGAATGGTTGAGAAGCTTGTTAGCTGAAATGGGAATCAAAGTTGCCCTACCAATTGATGTTTACTGTGATAACCGATCAGCTATTCATATAGCAGAGAATCCGGTGGTTCACGAAAGAACAAAACACATTGAAATTGACTGCCACGTTACAAGGGAAAGACTCAGTTCTGGAATGATCAAATTACAGCATGTGAGGACAGATGATCAATTGGCAGATCTTTTTACTAAAGGTTTGACTGGCTACAAGTTGAGCTATCTGTTGGATAAGTTGGGAGTCTCTGATATGTACTCGCCAACTTATGGGGGAGTAACAGAGAAGAATGCTCGAATGGAGCTTGAAGAAGAAGTGGTGCAGAAGTGCAGCAACGCTGACTGAAGAGCAGTAGCTGAAGAACAGAAGAAGAATAGGGCAGACACGTTTCGTTTCTGCCTTTCCCTCCACCTAGCGAGAAAATCTTGTATAGTCCCGGCCTACCACGTCACTTTGACTATGTGGTACACCAACCCAATAGAAGATGGACTCGTGGGACAGTATTTATTGTTGTGATTTATTCCCGCTCCCCTACAAGTCTGTCCCTGTTTTCAATATTCATGTTTCCTTCTTTGAGTTCATCTCGAATACAGAGAAAAAATAAATCTGTCTTTTTTTTTATAGAATCTAAAAGGTTCCTCCATTAGAGAATTTACATCAATTTAATTGTTTTTACAAATGCATTTATACGGTTTATTTCTATGTCCAAAATACAACTGAATTCACTTTCATTCACCTACATCAATGTAATTAACTTGCAATTGTGTATATGAGCAAAAATTTTTCTTTTAATAAAATAAAAACGATATGTGTTTATTATTTTATTCATAAAAAAAATAAAAAAAATTCATGGATATCAGAGTAAAATTGCAAATGGAATTGCAAGAAATGATAGCTTGCATATTCCAATCGAACTTCCATCAATGCAAATAAGATTGCAATTGCATTTTCATTGTCACGACACTTTGCAAATTAATATGATAATTTGATGTGAATGTTCTTAGTCTGAGTATTTCAATAGAGTTTTAGATGATTATCGGTCGGCATTTGTTGATTTATGTATAAACTGGATTGAAAAAGAGCATATTTGCGAGAGCTCCATATCTAATTTTCCGCCATTGTTAGATATTAGAGATATGAAGAATTCAGAAGCAATTTTGATAATTATGAAAAAATATATTTAATATTTGATGGAGATGGTATTTTTCTGAAAATAACATGATTTGATGAAAACCAATTACTTGATGAGGTTCACCATGGTAGATGTTCTGGGGAGAAACACAGTGAGAGGAAGATGTTTAAAATGGAGCTGAACTTTTTTGGAGGAAAATATATAATTGAACAGACTTATTTCTTATAAATGATCCAAATACACAAGTTGTTTCCTTCGCCCATAGTGGGAATCAATTAGTATTTGGAAAGTTAATAAAACATAGAAATAGGAAAGATAAACGTCAAGTAATTATTTCAAGAAATTGGAAAGACGAGAGATGAAAGCGGGAAATGGTACGAGGACAATAATTAAAAAAGTAACTCTCCCACGTGTCCATTTTCTATTGGGTTGGTGTACCACATAGTCAAAGTGACGTGGTAAGCCGGGAGTATACAAGATTTTCTCCCACCTAGCTGCAGCGATGGTTAAAACGACGACGTGGAGACCTGAACTTACCGTTAGGTGGAGACAAGAGGCCAAACGATTGAAGACACGTGGCGATCAGAGTTTATATTTGTTTAAATTACAGTTTAACGGACAAATCAAGTTTTACTGTTTAATCAAGTCGTCGTTTTCAGTCGGAAAAGGACGAGACTTTCGTTTCCTTCCCTTTTTCTTTAGTCAAATTTTTTACAGTACAGATGACAATGGTGGATGATTCGATGAGGCACAGCCGAATTGGCGTGTAGGTGGTTGAAGGGTGAAATGGCAAGATCCGGATCAGCTGGTGATGAATCCATGAAACCGAGAAAAGGGGAAAGCTGGCAGCCATGCCACGCCACACAGGTTTTCAGTGAATCAATTCAAAAGCGAGCTGGTCAAGTGGGGTCCACCACGGGTCCAGTGATAAACCACCACCATGGACTCGGGTCGATTCGTGACATAAACCCTGCGGCTGGGTTTTGGGTTTAGGTTTGTATTCATCCACCCCCTTCTCGGCGCTCAGCGGAACTGCGGGAACTTATTCTGATGGCTGCAGGTGCTCAAGAAGAAGAAAAGCTCCAAACTTTCCTGCAATGGCTGCTAGTAAGCTCTCGCTCTCCGTATTTCTCCGTTAATTTCGCCTAGATTTCAGTGCTACATGTCCCCGTTGTTTATATTTGGAATGGTTGAGTTGCGTAGGTGAACAAGGTTGAACTTCGGAGCTGTGAGATTAAGTACTGTAGCCAGAATAAAGGGTTCGGATTATTTTCCTCAGGCGACGTCTCCGATGATGGTAATTGATCAATTTCTTTCTGTCGTGTGAATGTCTAGTCGACAGGATCGATTTCCTCAGGGCAATTGTTATTCGTTAATGTTGTGAAGGGTTGCGAAATTCTTTAGCTTCAGTTCCCATTTCAGGGCATTATGTTCGGGGTTATGAAAGCTTCTCGTCCATGAATGGTTTTGGCTTTTGATTTAGGTCGAATATGTTTGATTCTCTGAAATGGCAGAAAGTTAAACTATCGACTGGATTACATTTTACATTTGGATCAAGTGATTCATTGCTTGATTGCTGAACCGATTTCGATGCAAATTGTTTTTGCAGGAGTTGTTCTCGCTGTTCCATTGGATTTAGCAATAACTCCAATGAGGGTATTGCAAGATCCCCTCGTTGGACCGGATTGTAGAGCGATGCTTGAAGAAGGAGAAGTGGATGACAGGTTCTTGATGATTCTGTTCCTTGTGGTGGAGCGCCTGAGGGAGAACAACTCTTCTTGGAAGCCGTTAATATCCTCAGCTTATTCTGTTTGGTGTACAAGTTTGAATCTTGGTCCTTCTTTGATGGCTGAGTATGTTTGATATTGTTCACATTAGGTACCTCGACATGCTTCCAACTACCTTTGGGAACCCACTCTGGTTTACTGATGATGAGCTCTTAGAGCTGGAAGGGACTACTTTGTATCGGGCAACCCAATTACAGGTAAATTATGCCCTTTGGCTGTTCACAATAATAGAGGGTCTAGAATTGTGGATTGTGAATGTCGTTGTGAATATATCAACCTTTGGATCATTAGTTTTCTCCGTCTTAGATATCCTATAACTAAATTGAGGAAAGATGTGCTTCTACAGAAGAAGACTTTGAGGTCTCTCTTCGAGAACAAAGTGAAGAGTCTGGTGAGGAAACTTCTTGCTCTTGATGGGAATACCGAAAGGTGAGCTCCTTTACTCAGACTTCTCTCTAATTCATTTCCACAGACCACTCCCAATATGAATGGACCTTGCTATCTTCCTTCAGTAGTTGAGTTGTTGCACATCATAAGTTGCATCTATCAATTTGAAAGAAAGTTCAAAATTTCTCTTGTTTCTCTTTCCAGGGAGGCCACTTTTGAAGATTTCCTATGGTGCGTATCTGCTGAATCAAACTGTGTTCTTTTGCGAATATTACATACTGTTTACTTAGTTGATCCTTTACATAACTTGGCTCTTGTTGTTTTTACTTTTTTTTGGCTATCCTGCGTTGCTTGTAGGGCCAATTCTGTGTTCTGGAGTCGTGCTTTGAACATTCCTTTTCCGCGTTCCTATGTATTTCCAACATTTCAGGAGGATAATGGCTGTCATTCCGCCATCGATGATACATCATGTGAAGGTGGAGTTTCAGTGAATGGAAGCAGTGGAGAAAGTGAGAAATAATTTTTCTCTCTTGGTATTCATCTTAATTTGGTTCTTATTGAAGGCGTCCATAGAAAAACAAGACTGAGAGATTGGTTTATCTCATTCTAGGATCTCCTTCTTCTTCTTCTCATACAGACTTGAAAATTCAAGTTTCAGAGGGCCAAGTCAATGGAGCGCCTTCTAGCTCAAGTCAAGAGGATACTGTCTGGGTAGAGGGTCTTGTTCCTGGCATTGATTTTTGCAACCATGGTACGCCTTATCTATTGTAATAATGAGACAAGATCATATGAAAATGCTTATATATAACATGTTAGCTATCAAGTAAGAGGGTTGCATACTGTAGGTATTATTTGAAGTGCAATAGTTTATTCGTATAATGTATTGAAGCTCTGTTTCTCATTGTATAGTTTTCTCCTTATTTAGGTTTTCTCTTGTGAACCCTATTTCCAAAGTAAAACAAACGACCTAATTATTTCTCCTAAGAAGCTCTTAATGTTTATCTGCCATTGCTGGATATGGCTGGCTGTTCAGACTTGAAGGCCATGGCGACATGGGAGGTAGACGGGACTGGCTTGGTGACTGGATCTCCTTGCTCCATGTACCTCCTTTCTGGTAAATATTCTCTGATTCGATATTTCAGTAGAGTTGTGTTCGTATAATCATTTATCTCAATCGAGTGATGGCTTCGTCAAACCTTAATAACAAGAGTGTATTTGGAACTTTTACATTATTTTTTCTAATCATAATAATTGAACTTTGGTAATTTGAAAGCTGAGCGAAGCCTCTTCAGCATTGGGAAAGAGATCTCCATCAGCTACGGTAACAAAGGCAATGAGGTACTTGCTGAAGCTTACCTCTTGTCTTGAATGGACTTAAACAACTATTAGTCATTCTTCTTGAATAGTTAAATCTTATCTTTTCCAGATGTTACCAAATATTTAGCAACTGTGAGAGTAGTATGTGCAACAAATACCTAATTGATTTTCATACGATGCAGGAATTACTCTATCTCTATGGATTTGTGATGGAAAATAATCCAGATGACTACCTAATGGTGATGTCTCTTGCATGCACATTTCATATTTATATCCTGTTTTATGTCCTCTAGTCCACTCCCATTGCAAATGATTAATGATAATCACCCATAAGGTGGTTGTTGGATGAGTTTTTGGCATGTTTTGACCTTGTACTGTAACAATTCGCTTGTACATTCGCCATTGTATTTCATCCCACTGAAAACTTTTGCTTGAATATATCAGGTTCATTACCCCATCGAGGCCATTCAGAGTGCTCCCTTCTCAGAAGCCAAGTTGCAGCTTCTTCAGGCACAGGTCAGCTCTTTCTTGACCTCTTAGGTAAATTATATGTCTTTCCCAAAGTCTTAGCAGGATACCATTTTCTCAACATTCACAGTTCTGATAAAACTGGCTCTATCCCGCAGAAAGCTGAAATGAGACATCTTTTGCCCAAAACCCTGCTAAACAAAGGATTCTTCCAGGCAGGCTCCTCCTCAAGCAACAATGGTGAAACTGAGAAGCCTGATTTAAGAAAAGCTTCCAACTTCAGTTGGAGTGGTCAGCGTAGTGCGCCCTCATACATTGATAAGCTGGTGTTTCCTGATGATCTCTTAACTGCATTAAGGACCATATCCATCCAGGAAGACCAGCTTTTCAAGGTCTCTTCATTGCTAGAAGAGGTAAAAGACAGAAAAGCTTCAATCCCTTCCCCAACCACACTTTCCCTTTCTGTTGATTTTTTTTGGGCCAATCGCATGAATTCTCTTTTGGATGTCACTGACAAATTGGTCACTGAACTTTGATTTTTCAGGAATTTGTCACTGAAGTTTGTAGTAAGAACAGCCGCCCATTCTAGCTTTTCATAGAAGTTGTCTAGTTTGGCTATCGGAATTCCAATTTACCTATCTCACATTACTTAGACATAGAACTTATCAGAGGTTGACATAGTGACTGTTATGTTCGTAATTTCAATTGTTAGTGATAAGTCCGATAAAAACATAGCCTAGCGATCGATTTGTCCATAACCATGAATGTAGCAATTGACCTAAACTTGTGTTTGCAATGTTTACGATGAGACTCTAAGAAACTAATGCTGCTTCTGTTTAAAAGCTCGTAGGCTCTGACGAGGAGAGACAACCTACAGACTCTGAAGTAAGGACAGCTGTTTGGGAAGCTTGTGGAGATTCAGGAGCCTTTCAGTTGCTGGTCGATATTCTGCAGACCAAGTACCCGCAAAACTCTTTAGCTTCTTAGCATGCCCTAACCATAAGTAATAACCATGTTGTTTCATTGCTTGACATAGTTTACATAAATGCTCTTTTTTCGTCAGGATGGCAGATTTAGAAGAGGGTACTGGAACAGAGGAAAACGATATTGAGCTGCTCGAAAATGCTAAGGACGTTGGAACCATGAACCAGAAGGAAGTGTTTGAGCAGAAAGGAAACTCGAATGAGGTGATGAAGCCAATGGGTCGGAATCGTTGGTCGAGCATAGTGTACAGAAGAGGGCAAAAGGAGATGACCAGATTGTTTCTCAGGGAGGCAGAGCATGCTCTGCAGTTGTCATCGAGTGAAGGCAACTAATGATACTCATGAACATTTTAGTTTAAATATTAAGTTAGATGTTTTTCATAAAAATTAGGTTCAATTTTGCATAGCATATTATCTACATGGGGTATTTCTTGGGGAAAAAATTGAACTTCTACTGCTAATCGGCGACATCAACCATATAATTTCTCTGGAAAATCATGTGAATTTTTGTATCAGTGTTTGTTAGTTTCCCATTCCAAGATATATTTTCCAATTTATGTAGATCACCTTATTCACCAAACCAACATTGAGACAGCATTAACCTACCTAATTCATCGAATATTGTATATTTGGATGAATGTGCCCGTAGTCAAGAATTCGACCTAGTTAGGTCCTAGCTTACAGGAAATAGTAACATAAATGTATTATTGTTATGCAGTAGTTTTGTATTCATATTATGAATAAAGTATCTAAAGTAAACTTATCATCCAAACTATCAAGGATATTATTTTCAATTTAACCTATTAAAATAGCGTTCATGATTTCATCACTCATCTGATTATAAAGTGTGTTCTTTGCATAATTTATTTAAGAACATACTCGTTCAACACTTGTAGTGATGACTAGGGATGACAATGGGTTGGGTTATTTCAAATTCAAACCCAACCCAACCCAGTGAATATATCAGCAAGTAAAAACCTCAAGGAAAAATTAAACTAGTTATATAACCTCAAACCCAACCCAATCATCTGGGTATCCATATGGATACCCATGGGTTATGATGGACAAAAATACATAATATCAATCTCTTGTCAAAATAAAAGTTTAACACCAATCTTCCCAAAACAAATTATCCATACAAAAAACACCAATCTAGTATATATAAGCAAACCCATAAATTATCAATACAAATTGTTCAATATTAAAGATAAACGTTCACAAACAATAACACGGTTAATCGACGGATTGTGGGAGTAAAGTGTGTACGAGTATCCATGAGCCGGATATACCTAAATCCGGACTCAACCCAACCCGCTGAACAGTGCAATGGGTTTCAACCCAAACCCGACTCACAATCCGTCAATGCGGGTTTTATACGCTTTGACTAGGTTGGATTGAGTAAGGTACTCGTGGATACGAGTTGTGTTGTCATCCCTAATGATGACAAGTAGCAACAACACCAACTTATAAGTTGATATACTAACTGAAACACTCGACTTTTTTTTACACAACCATTTCCCTAAGAAATTCAACATTTTTCTTTAATCCCTCAAACCTCTCAAATATCTTCATATCAACCATATAAACATCTAGTTGATGAAAATCAAGATGTAAGATATCACCTTTAGAAACTTCATTAGGATAAAATGTTACAAGTTTAAAAAACCTATTCTCGTCAAAGTTAACAAATGAATCTTCTAGATTCAAACATGCCACACAACATAGCAATTCCGCATTAACCTTATTGAGAAGACCATTAAGCACGTGTAACTACATACAATAACTATTATGCAATAAAGCATATAGTGGCATGTAACTTAGTGGTGAAAATGATGGTCTTTTACAGAGAGGTCCCTTATCTGGATCCCGTTTCCAAGTATACACGAGTTAGCTCCGCCACTGAACATGCCTCATATTTAAATTTACCCACTTAATTGTGTATGCAGGAATTTTCACCTAAAATCGAACCAATACACATCCCTATACGCTTCATCAATCGATAATGACTTTGAGTCGCGATACAACCAATTCCACCGTCGAGCCAATACGAGCTTCATATCTATGGATAAGTGTACTTTTGACCTTATCTGGATCCCGTTTCCAAGTAGACAAGAGTTAGCTCCGCAACTGAACATGCCTCATATTTAAATTTAGTCACTTAATTGTGTATGCATAAATTTTCACCTAAAACCGAACCAATACACATTTCTATACGCTTCATCAATCGAGAATGACTTTAAGTCGCGATACAACCAATTCCACCGTCGAGCCAATAAGAGCTTCATATCTATGGATAAGTGTAGTTTTGACCTCTATTGATTAACACCCCTAGCTACTTGGCATAGTTGCACGTGTGCATGTTTCCACGTCTATTGTTGTTGTGGCTACAACTTCTTCCCATTCCCACTCCCGGCCGCACCAAATCTATATATTTTTTACACTCTTTAATTTAATTTCAATTCCATAGATTTAAATCCACAAATTCTTAATGAAAACAAAAGTCACTTTCGGGAATTATTTGTTTTCTTAATGGTCTTTAAATCAGTGGGAAATTAGGAAGCTTTTGGAGGATATAGAAATTAAGGATGGTGACAAAACAAAGAAAGGGTTAAGTGTAGTATAATAACAAAAGGTGTCTCCTTTATGTGCCACCTCTCAGTCATTTCCTACTTGTCCTTTTCCCCTTTCTTTGATCAAATTAATTAATATGATCCACACACCTTCAGACACACAACGGAAAGGAAAGGACCCCACGGTAGTTGGGAAAAAAAACACACCAGAATTTTGCCCTGGATTTCTTTGTCTTTAATTCTTTTGATATTGTTTATTTATGTTTGTAGGTCCTTTGGAAGATGTATTTTGTTTGATTGATGCTTTTTCACTATTCATTGTTAGAAGTTAGGCTTCCATTCCACTCCCACACCCACTTATTTTATTGTGATGGATTAGTGTTAGGATATATAGCATTATAGATTTGAAGTTCTAGTACCATGTCACAGATCATATGATCCGAATATTTTGAGTTGTTATGAGAAGGTTATTCATGGATAATATACAATTCATATAATAAAATAGACGTCTTGCCTTGGTCCTTGACCACTATATATATTACCGTCTCCAAGATTTTCAGAGGATCAATGCCCAATATTATGTAGATATTATGCTGTAATTTACCAAGATTTAGGTATCAAAATAAAAATGTAGATATTATGATGTAATTTACCAATAATTCATGAATATACCAATCTAAATGAATTTGAATTAAATAATTTAATTAGTTGAATTTTTTATTAGATGGATTGAACTGATCAGTCTAGTGAGTTAAACTCAAATTATCATTTTTAATTTTGAATATTATTAAAACCCTAACGATCAGTCAGATCCATTTTTTCGGTAATTAGGCTTTCATTGATGCTCCATTTAACCAAATCGGTAAAGGCGGTCCAAAATACAAGGACAAAACGTCCACAAAACAACAAACAACAGCTGAACTCTACCTAAACAAACTCCCTCCAAAAAGGAATAACTTGCATTTTCGTACGAAATTGGTCATTTCCCAACGAAAGTAACATAACATCCCGCTTCATCTGAGCAAACAACTGCTGCCATGGACATTTAACTCCTTCAAAATGGCGTTTGCATCGCTCCTGCCATATCAGACCTACAAACCAGCTCCACAGGACAGAAAAACAACGTCCCTGGGCACCTCCTCACCTTGCTACTTGACTTGCTTCCTGCAGGAATCCCTCCCAATCACTCGACCAACTTATACCCATCCTGCCAAACAGTTCATCAAATAACTCTGTACTATAATGACATTCACAGAATAATTGACTTCTAGTCTCACCCACTCTCGAGCAAAGAAGACAAGTATCATACGTGATTCTGCCCCAGTCCTTCAGCTTATCCCTCGTAGTGATTCTGTTGAGTATTACCAGCCACGTGACAATCCAGGATCTTGGGATCACATACTTACTCCAAAGTAGCTGCCACCATGGTACAACATGACGCCTCACTCGAATAGAGTTCCACACCTGTTGTACCCTAAACTTAAGCATAATCAGCCCTTCCCAAAAAACTTCATTTTGGGCATTGATAGTCATCCAAAACTGAAACCATCCACGCAACTGTAAAAGCTTGCGCCAAATCCATGAACCAATAGAAGAAGGAGGTAGATCCCAAAAAGAGAGGTCCTTAATCCTGTATTTATATATCCATGCCACTCAAAAACTCCCTCCTTTCATCCAAAGGAGTCAGATAAGCCTTGCCAAACATGCCACATTCCAGGAATGTGTCAAGAACCAGTTGGTCCCAATAACTCGAGTTGTTGAAAGAGGTTCAATCGTGGATCTTATACCACTCTCTAATATGCCCCCTCAAACGAAAGCCAACTCATGGACTTGAAGTTTGCACAGGCCCACCATACCATGTGCTTGAAAGACAACGGTTAATATTGGGGGTCGTGGAGATTCGAACACATGACCTTTCGGTTCTAGGCTCTAATACTATATCAAGAACCAGTTGGTCCCAATAACTCGAGTTGTTGGAAGAGGTTCAATCGTGGATCTTATACCACTCTCTAACAGAATGCAGGTCATTAAAACCCACACCACCCTCCTTCATAGGCATAGCAAGATTTCCCCACACTACTTTAGCTCTGCCCGTACCCTCACCATACCATAAAAAATCAGAACAAATTTATGAATTTGAGCAATCACATTCTTCGGAAGCACAAAGATATTCATCCAGAACTGTATAAGAGAATACAAGACAAAGGAAACCAGCTGGATTCTACCTTCATAAGATAGGGAATTAGCTCTCTAGGATCTAATACCACTCGTGAGCTTATCCACAAACACTGCACATTCTTTACTAGTCAAACGCCCAGCTATTAGTGGCAAACCGAGATAACGAACCGGCAGGTGCCCTTCTGCAAACCCAGAAACACGCAGTGCATGCTCCTTGTACACCAGAGCTTTGCCACCAAAAAAGACCTCACATTTCTGAGGATTACATCTCAAGCCTGATTGAGAATATAACCTATCAAGAATCTGCTTCACTATCAACAGAGCTGCACCAAACCTGTTGACACCTAAAATTAATTTGGCCGGAATTAAATGCCGCATTAATTAGTCTCGGCATTTAATTCGATACCGTGGGTAAAAAGACGGCGTCGTTTGAAATTAAACGATACCGCGGAACAAAAAACGGTACCGCAAGGAAGCTCAGCGGTACCGCGACACTGGAAACGGCACCGGTCACCAAAAAACAAAAGAGCGGCCGCGCGTTTAGTCGTAGTTGGGGAAGGAGTTTTTGTTTGCTCTAATTAATTTAAATAATTTTTTATTCCTTGTTGGATAGGGAGAAGCGGCACCGCGGAGATCTAAAACGGTGCCGCGGAATCTAAAACTGTGCCGCGGAATTAAAAACGGTACCGCGAGGAAGCCCAACGGTACCGCTATACTAGCAAACGACAGTGTTTAATAATAAACAGTGTCGTGGAAGAAAAAACAAACGGCTGGTTGGGGAAGAAAACAACACCGCAAGGCTGGTACCGGCAAGACCAACAGCACTGCAAGACAGGAACAACAGTACCGTTTTTAGCGAGGCCGCGGAAAGACCAACGGTACAGTTTGGTTGAAAAACAAAACAGTGTCGCGGAATGGAAAACGACATTGTTTGACGACATCGATTAGTGAAAGGTGATGTCGCGGTATTGGTGAAACGACATCGTTACATGGACAAGATTGTAGGATTTGGCTCAACGTCGTTTCGCCAAGTTTATGCAAACAGGAGCGGTTTCGAGGGCACGTGATTATCACGCAACAGGGAGGAAGTTACTTGCACGGTTGACGGGAATGAAGACGTGGGAGATAAAGGCGCGAGGGCGGTTACCACGACTACGGGCAAAAGATTGCAGTATAAACATCAGGAAGAGAGAGAAGCTCTAGACGGCAAAATCAAATCACAACTGCACCATCGCAGAATTTATCGTTTTCTCTCTAGTTTTCGTAGAACCGCTCTGTCAAAGACCTCCTTTGCAGAGTCGTAGTCGTAGCTTGTAGTCGTAGTCGCGGAGCTCTCCAGAGGAACCTCCATAGGAGTAGAGGTAACGTAACTCAGAATACTCTCGGTTTGGTTTCTCGTTTCTCGTCGAACACCCTCGTTCGAACGTAGTTTGGAGAGGTGGTGAACCGAGTAACGGTTGTTTGATTAGAGGTCAAAGGTGCATCGATCAAATCAACGACGCCGATACCGGCGGCGGATATTTGACGATCGTCTTGGTTTCTGCTTTAATCGATCAAATCAACGGCGCTGACTTCGGCGGCGGATATTTGACGATTTTGCTGATTTTGTGTTTGTGCTTACTTGAATACAGTGCGCATTGAACACGCGAGTTTCGCCAACGAAACAAAACCCCTACGTGAAAATCAACAGGTCGTCTGCAAAACACAAATGCGTCAGACCTATTGATTTAATAAGTCAAATCCATTTTGTATAACAAAAAATGATTTTTCCGTAAAAAAAGTGATATGAACAAAGTGTATCATACCAATAAAATTATGAATTATAATTTTGAGTATTTAATTTATAAAATTGTCCCCATTCACCCGTCTTGTTATAATCGATATACTATATCTTGCGTGACAAGTAACAACACCATTATTGATAAAAGACAAGAAGACAACTATTTAAATAAATGTCATGTTGTAAAAATTTAATGCTGTCGCAAAAGATGTAGCAAGATAAAGTGTCCACAAATGATTCAACAAGTGTAAGTACGCATACCATCCGATACAGATTTTTAGTTTAAATTCTAGAAGATAATTACAATTGCAACTTAATATTTAATGGTTAGGTGTTTCCAGTGCCTGTGGGTTAGAAAATTGTGTGTTATGTTCCAGATCAGACTGTAAGGAAGTGGTTAAACACCATACACATGCTTGTATAAGTACCATATACATATTTTATATGCGTTTGATTTTGGCAAGTTGAAATACAAGTTACTACCCAAATCAAATACTATACGATTAGCTCACGCATGAGCGGCTGTATATGATAATATTAGAATCAGACTAAATAAAGTTATTTATAATGATTCGGTTTGCTCCATAATTTTTAAAATAATCTGACTATTTACCATAAGTAATATCTAACTTTTAAATTATAGTTAAAAAATACTATGTAAAATTTGTAATATATTTAGATAGCAGAACAACCAGGAAATTGTTCTTTTACTACCAAATTTATCACCAGACTTCAAATATCTTGAGCGTCGTTTCCTGACTCCCGGCACTGTGATCAGTTTTCTAAATGTAACTTAGGGTAACTTGTAGCTAACGCAAATATAATTTATCTTAATATAGTGGTGGACCTATTTGTGATAATAAACTAAGATCAAAGGGATGAAATTCGGCCGACCATTTTAAACGGATTGGCCGACCGTCTATAGATAACTGGTTAACCCTATTTTTGCCCTGAAACACAAATTTTCACACAGAGAATGTTGGAAATTTGGTTAAACCGGACTAACCCAGTCAAACCGGTTTTGGGTTGGGCTAACCAATCGGTTTGAGATTAGATCGACGAACCGATATTCTAATTCCGTGAAGGGACACATCCATTTGGCCTAGTGGCGGTTGCATTATTTTATGGATAAGGATAACCTTATGGATAGAGGCAACCCTTCATATGGATAAAGGCAACCTTTCGAATGGATAAAGGCAACCTTTCATGCAACAATGCATGGATTCGGCCCCTATAAATATGTGTGGGGTGGATGATGCCACATACCATCAAACAAATTCTTCTTCTTTCTTCCAAACATTTCTAAGTATGCTTTAGTGTTCTTGAGCATGGAACCTAAAGTGGTGATAGTTTTATCCTCGGGAGAAATTTCCTGTAACCCTAGGCTTGTTGATGGTGGAAATATTCTTTTCGGAAAGTGAACGTTGTTCACGACTCTATCACAATCCTGATCACCCGGTATCGATTACGTGTACCTTGCTCCAGTAAGTCCCAACAGAGAATACTGGTCAATCTATCACCTTTATTAATTATTCAAGTGCCTCTAGTCTAAGACAAAAATAACTGAAGTAGGTTAGTCTGTTTGTTTGGACTTTGGAGGATGAACGTCTGGATAAGAATTCACAAAATAATATATATGACCGACTTTCTCAGCCAGAATAATAACGTGGTCGATGGACCTCGAAGATGATGTTTGTATCATAAGATATTAACAAAAGAACCCCATGATTTCGTGTGTTTGATGTTGAACGACATGCAATGTATGAAATTGTTGTTGAAAGGAGTGAGTAACCCTGCAGGTGGTCAAGTACTTGTAAACGAAGACATTCCCCATGGATAGTTTCCACCGTCCATGACACCGCGATTGAGTCACCATTTTAATACGACCTGAATTCCGTTACAAAACCATTTTCTTGAAAAATGTCGGCCGTATCACCATATGTTTTGTCAAGAACCAGTTGATCCCAATAACTCGAGTTGTTGGGAGAGATTCAATCGTGGATCATATACCACAACACTAATACGCCCCCTCAAACGAAAGTCACTCACAAGGGCTTGAAGTTTGCACAGGTCTGAAGACAAGAATACCATGTGCTTAACAAATGGGGGTCACCGGGAATCGAACACAAGACCTATCGGTCACATAAAGCTCTGATACCATGGAAACACGAGAGACTGTGAGAGAGGTAAAGAACTGGGACTGGTGAGTGCAATCATGAGCGATAATAGTGGTTTTGCTCAGGTTGGTATCCCCAAATTCGATGGGGATTATGAGCATTGGAGTTTGATTATGGAGAATCTGCTAAGGTCCAAGGAGTATTGGACAGTGGTGAAGGATGGTTTCAAGGAACCTGCAGCAGGAGAGGTGTTTTCTGCCTCACAGCAGAAGGTCTTGGATGAAAATCGACTGAAGGATTTGAAGGCAAAGAACTACCTTTTTAGTTCTATCGACAAAAGCATCCTGAAAACAATTACAAACAAGACCACTGCACGAGATCTGTGGGTTTCTGTGCAAACCAAGTGTCAAGGTAATGCAAGGGTACAAAAGTCTCAGTTGCAGGCTTTGAGGAGGAACTTTGAGATTCTCGAGATGAAGGAAGGAGAGTCCGTGAATGACTACTTTGGAAGAGTCATGGTCGTGACAAATGGAATGAGAAACTGTGGTGAAATGATGACAGATGAGAAGATAGTGGAGAAGATCCTGAGGACTCTTACAGAAAGATACAACTACATTGTCTGCTCCATAGAAGAATCAAAAGACATCGAAACTCTGTCTGTTGACTCTCTGCAAAGTTCTTTGCTTGTTCATGAGCAAAAACTGACTAAACAATCGACTGAAAGTGATCAGGCTTTGAAGGTCAGTTATGATATTGGTGGCAGAGGGGGAAGGGGACAAGGCAGAGGTGGCTATCAAGGAAGAGGTAGAGGAAGAGGTAGAGAATGGAGCCGAGACATGGTTGAGTGCTTCAAGTGTCACAAAATGGGCCATTTCATCAGGGAATGTCCTGAGTGGAACTATTCTTAGCAAGGTAATTATCAACATTATCAGAATCAAGCTCATTTCTCTAATGTTGCTCAACAAACTTCCCATCCAGACATGAAAGAGGATGTACTGCTTATGGCTGTGGTTGAGGATAGTATCACAGAGTTGCCCAAGGAAACAGAAGAACAAGGTTTAATGGCTTTCTTGGAGTCAAATCAGAAAAACCAGACTGAGGATTGGTGGTTTTTGGACTCTGGATGTAGTAATCACATGAGTGGTAATCAGAAATGGTTCATCCAGCTTGATACTAGCTTCAACAGTACCGTGAAGCTAGGAAATGGCAGCAAGCTTGAGGTTCAAGGAAAGGGAAGTGTCAAGTTGTTAGTGGATCAAACTTCCTTAGTGATACAAAATGTGTTCTTTGTGCCTGGCTTAAACACTAACTTGCTCAGTGTAGGTCAATTGCAAGAAAAGAATCTCAGTTTTGAGATTAAGAATGGCATCTGCAAGATTTTTCAGGAAACAAAAGGGCTTTTGCTGCAGACAGTCATGAAAACCAATCGAATGTTTGTGGTACATGCAGAGTGCTTGAAGGACAAGCAAAAATCTGATTCTATGTGTTTGCAGACTACTAATGCCAGGAACTCAACATTGAATCTTTGGCATAGAAGGTTTGGACACTTGAGTGAGAAAGGATTACTGCTAATGCATAAAAAGGACTTGTTCAAGGTCTTCCCAAGCTGAATGGAGAATTGGGAATCTGTGGTACATGCATGATAGGAAAGCAAAGCAGGAGTAAGTTTCCAAAGAAAGGAGCATGGAGAGCAACTCAACCTCTCCAGTTGCTTCATGCTGACTTGTGTGGACCAATCACTCCAGCTTCAAATGGTGGTAAGAAGTATATACTGACCATTACTGATGACTACAGTAGAAAACTTTGGGTTTACTTTCTGGTTGCTAAATCAGAAGCTCTTACTTGGTTCAAGAAATTCAAAACTCAAGTTGAAAAGGAAACATGCAAGTTCATTACATGTCTTAGGACAGATAGGGGAGGTGAATTCATGTGGACTGAGTTTAGACAAATATGTGAAGAGGCTGGAATCAGGAGGCAGCTTACAACTGCTTTAACTCCTCAGCAAAATGGTATTGCTGAAAGGAAGAACAGGACTATAATGGACATGGTTAGATGTTATCTAGCAGATACCAAAGTACCTGCACTTTTCTGGCCTGAAACTGTGGAATGGGCTACTCATGTCCTTAATCGAAGTCCAACTTCAGCAAATGAATGGAAAACTCCCCAGGAGCTGTGGACAGGGAAACCTCCTTCTGTGGACCACTTGAGGATCTTTGGTTGTACAGTTTATGCTCATGTTCATGACCATCAGAGGAAGAAACTTGATGATAAGAGTGTTAAATGTCAATTTCTTGGCATTTCCAAAGAATCCAAAGTTTAGAAGCTTTATAACACTGTTACAAAGAAAGTGGTTGTTAGTAGGGATGTGGTGTTTGATGAAGAAGAGGGCTGGCCTGGAAATTCAGAAGCTGAATCTGGATTAACCAAACTTATTTGGGATGGCAGTGATGATTTGTACTATGATTCAGATGAGGAAGAAGAAAATCATGATTTGGAGTCTCCTGTTGTTGAAATTGAAGCATCTGCAGAACCTGAAAGTCCTCAGACTCCTGCTAGCTCCACTGCCTCAACCTCAGTACAAATACCTCACACTGCAGAGGAAGATATAAGCACTGCATCAGATCTGCAACCAACTGGGAGAGGGCTTGGAACTCGAAACAGGAAGCCTCCTGGTTATCTGGATGTTTATGAATGCACCTATGCTGGTACTGATTGGCTGGCAATGGTGGCAGTATCTGATGATCCTCAAACTTTTGAGCAGGCAGTATTGGAGGAAAAGTGGAGAGAAGCAATGAAAGCAGAAATTCACAGCATAATCAAGAATAATACTTGGATGCTAGTTGATAAACCAGCAGGAGTGACTCCAATTGGAGTTAAGTGGGTGTATAGAACTAAACTAAGAGAAGATGGTTCTATAGACAAGTTTAAAGCAAGGTTAGTGGCAAAAGATATGCTCAACAGTATGGGGTGGATTACACAGAAGTCTTTGCACTTGTGGCTAGATGGGACACCATTAGGGCTTTCTTGGCTTTGGCTGCTCATCATGGTTTGACAGTTTATCAGCTTGATGTAAAGAGTGCCTTTTTGTATGGTAAACTTACTGAGGAGGTTTACATTGAGCAACCACAAGGGTTTGTGGTTGCTGGGGAGGAAGGTAAAGTATACAAGCTTCAGAAGGCTTTGTATGGACTGAAACAGGCTCCTAGAGCCTGGTACAGCAGGATAGAAACTTATTTCTTGATGAATGGCTTTGAAAGGTGTGAGTATGAGCATACCTTATTTGTCAAAAAGGCTGGTACTGATGTGCCAATGGTCTCACTCTATGTGGATGACCTAATGTATGCAAGTACCAGTGCAGCTATGCTAGAGGAGTTCAAGAGGTCAATGAAGTTGGAGTTTGAGATGTCTGATCTTGGAAGGATGAAATATTTTTTGGGGGTTGAAGTAACACAGGCTGCTGGTGGGATTTTCATGCATCAAAAGAAGTATGTGAATGATATACTAGAGAAGTTTAAGCTAGCAGAGTACAATTCTGTGCATAATCCCATGACTGTTGGAACCAAATTCACCAAGGCTGGAGATGGCATTCATGTGAATCCTACAGAATATAAACAATTGATAGGAAGCCTGCTGTATGTCACTGTAACCAGACCAGACATTATGTATTCAGTCTGTCTTTTGAGTAGATTCATGGAGTCTCCCACAAGGCAACACCTGCTTGCAGTCAAGAGGATTCTGAGGTACTTAAAAGGGACAGCATGGCATGGAATCTGGTACAGGAAACTTAATGAACAAGATCATCTGCTAGGGTACACAGACAGTGACTATGCAGGTGACCTTGATGACAGGAAAAGTACTAGTGGTTATGTATTCTTTCTTGCAGGAGGAGCCATCTCGTGGTCTTCAAAGAAGCAGCCAGTGGTGACCTTGTCAACCACAGAAGCTGAGTTTGTGGCTGCCTCATATTGTGCTTCCCAGTGTGTGTGGCTTTGAAGGGTTCTTGAGCAGATGAATTGGAGGGAATGTGTAAAGGGAGCAACTAGAATTATGTGTGATAATAGCTCGACTATTAAACTTTCGAAGAATCCAGTGCTGCATGGTAGGAGTAAGCACATAGATGTCAGATTTCACTTTCTAAGGGAGCTTGCAAGAGAAGGAGTGGTTGAGCTGCATCACTGTGGAACCATTGATCAGGTAGCTGATATTATGACTAAGCCGCTCAAGTTGGACTCCTTTCTACTCCTGCGAAGTCACCTTGGAGTTCATGATGGTGCTGAGCTGAAATTGAACTGAAGCTTGTGAGATGCTTCAGTTCAGGGGAGGATGTTGAAGATGCTGAATCAGGAGGATGTGGAAGATGCTGGATTGGTGCTGAAGTCCTAAGAGCAGCAGAGGTTCTTGGCGCGAAGACTAGCTGTGTTAATATTAAAGTTTGAAATCAGTACTGTGTCGTTTTGGCAAGGCCTGTGTCATGTTGTCAAAATTGTGTCGTGTTGGTTAATGTGTGTGTTGGTCCCTTTGTTTAGTTTGTAGACAGTCTGGTCCTGTTCGTAGTTTGAGTCTGCTGTGTTTGGGTCAGTTAAGAGTAGTGGTAGCTGTGAGATCATGGGAAGGTGGATTGATGCCGAACTGTCTAGGCACAACTGTCTTGTGTATATATTCTCGTTTGATCAATATTATAAACCGTCAGTTTGCATTCCATTGGATTTAACATGTTTGATATGATAATACGACACGATTATACTTCGTATCATCGTATGATGATATCGTGATACGACCGGGTTTTGCAGGCCGGGTTTTGTACACTATCTGCTCCCTTTTAATACTAGGAAATCAAATATAAATAGAGGATGGAATGATATATTTGGTGGGACGATATATATTTAATTATTATTGGGCTTTAACCACGAATTGTAAAACCATATACTAAAGGCTGTCTTCAAAAAGTCAGCGATAGAATATTTTGTGCTGAAATTAAATCGTGGTTTAAATAATTCAATACTTCTAAATACTGCCAACCGGTTTAGTCTCCAGTATGAGGCTTTTTGGTCGAACCACCATTGCGTTATGATTTTTTCAATCCTTAATTTTAACATTTGAACCTACACTCAACCAAAGAATAGTTCGATTTTAAATAATTGAAACCCACATCAACCTTTAGAATTAAATTTTCTCGGATATTTCGGATAGCTAGAACGATTATAAATTAAGCGGTTGGGATTGGATTTGGGTTTGTTGCAGTGGCGGATCTAGGGCTGGGCCACCCCAGGCCCCGGCCTAGCCCTCTTGCGGTTCCGAGTTAGTATAGTAAGTAAGAATTTTTTGATATTAGGTGTTCGGTCTAGTGCTATTTAAATTCAGTCCAGTATTATTTGATAATAAGATTTTGTGTAACTTGAAAAATAGTATAGATGAACATATCCAAACCACTACTCTCAATTTAGACTAAAAATTTTAGCCCAAATGATTTTCATTTGAAAAGAATAAAATGAACAATGAAACTTAAAAGTCTTACTCGTAAAAGACTAAAAGTAGAAAGTTTAATTGAAATAAAAACCTCTAAAATAAACCTCAAACTCTCTCTCAAAACCCAAAAAATTCCTCCAATTCCAAAAAAAAAAAAAAAAATTAGAACGATGAGACGAACGAACCCGAAACGGATTCCTTCACTAGTTCGTCAGGAGCTGGTTTTCTTTCCAGTCTTTTGATGAAGAAAATATTAACAAACTTGTTGAGTCATCATTTAAATTGCTTCAGTTGAGGGGTTCACTATATCCTAAAAGTTATTTCTGGTTTTTTATGAAGAAAATATTTACAAACTTGTTCAAGAGTATATCATCGAGACTTCGAAGGCTATTAGATGCATTCTTTGAAGAATGATCTACGATATTATATCGCGCATGTGGTTCATAGCCAGGAATATGAAGTTTCTTCTCTTGCAAGATTACTAGAGAAGCTGGTGGAAACAAGGATGGATACACACTACACATTGATTTGTCGGTTGATTCGTCTAGTGTTAACCTAGCTCGTTCCAATGACTACTATGGAGAGAATATTTTCAACAATGAAACATGTGAAACTTATTTAAGCAACAAAATGAGCGATGAATTTCCCGTGGATTGCTTAACTATTTTCTTTGAGAAAGAGTATGTTATTGTTATGGATGAAGATTCAATTATTTTATGAACTCTCTAAATTAAAAAATCGTCATGTACAATTGACATTGTAATGAAAATTATAGCTATCATTTTTTTAACGATTTCTAATTTTCTATTCAAATGAGGCCCAGTGCTCTACTATATCCTGGACACGCCGCTGGTTTGTTGTATTTACCCTAGTGATTGAATCACTTTTCACTTGGCCTTGTGCATCGCGGCTCTCAAAGATGTAGGAGATTACCGAACTCTTCCGAACTAGGTTCTTTCTCGTTCGCTCCAAGGATATATATTTAGTTTCATTTTCAATAAACTCACTTTTTCAGACCATGTTAACGTAACCACTCATCTTATAATCATCATTTTCACCATTTGATTCATATCAAAACGATTATTCAACTGTCAATTCTAATGCGATCAACTAGAAAGCAATCTCAATCATTAATCCTAGTACGCAAATTATTAAGGATTTACTTGGATTTCTTAATGGCTTAGGGATTTAATGTTTAAAATTCAGGATATGCATGAACGAGTTGTAGTAGTCCTATATATTTTATCATGTTAGCCTAATACCAGCAATTTAAATTAAAAAAACAATGCTTAAAAGCTACTATATATTAAGTTAGAGTTCATAATACATAATCAATTACATACTTATTTTTATCAGTGCACGATAAAAAAATACCTATAGATGATTAAGCAATCGAGAATCGAATTCAAATTCCCTAATTTCATCATGGTCTATTCCCACGGTGTATTTCACAAAGCAATAGACTGCATAATACATCCTCCGTGTATTTATTATATCTATTCATATTTATCATATTTTAACTTTTCTTTAATTAGTTAGACTTTATCTATCATTTAGTTAGACTCATTTACCCATTCTATTATCACTATTTTTTGTCCATAAAGTGTGTTCCCTTCGTTTTATCATAAAAAATAAAATTTTGCGTGCACTTTTTTCAAATAACATACAAGAGTGGATCGACCCGTCATTCTCCTTACCTGCACGAGTATTACCCACCCCTACCCGCAGTTGGTGCATGACACTGTGACTCGACTCTACTGTCACTCCAGGAATTGGCCAAGTGGAACCACTCCCTAAAGCGTAGTATAGCGGGTTTGGGTTTAATTATCAACCCGGGTCCTAGATTTGATGACTACTCAGTGAATTCGTGTTATCTAGCAATGAAACTTTAATGCAGGTTTAAACTAACAAACTAACAAAGCAAGTAAACTGGTTGTATTCAGGTTAAAGAGGTCACCCGGATATGGTTCCCCCTAGACTGCAGTTAAGCCGGATTGTAATTACCAAGTTCAGTTTCTATGAAAGTTATACTGCGGAAGGTTCTTAAACAGCCTGAAGTCTCGACTAAAGGTCTTCAGACCCTCTCAATCTGAGTCTCTAGCGGGCGACTAACCTCCACCGGAGTAAACAGATTGAGGCCCTAAGAACAAAACCTCCGCTACCGGAGTAAATCCGGTACAGAATAGTGAGTTGGCTCCTCGACTAAAGTCACCAACTCCCTACCTTCAATCAAGGATACTCTATTAACCTAGGCAGATATTCTCATTCTAGGTTAAAGCAGAAACAACAGGAATTTGATCAGGATTCAAGTCATTCAATCATTCAACCTCAATCGAATATAATCAAATCATAGAATCAGTACTTGGGTTCATACAATCAAACCTAACATACAAATCTAGGGTTCTCCATACCCAGATGAATGGGAGAACTACTCCATAGAGAAGAAAGCAAAAGCAGAATCAGACACGGAATTCATACTGCGAAGGGTGGATTCCTGCTTCTGGACGTTGATTGGCACTTCTCCAAGCTCAAGCTGGCCTCCAATGGTGTTGAAGATCAATCTAGGGCACTTGGGGAACTCTTGCTCGTCACTTTCTCTCTCTAGAAGTCGTTCTTTCTCTCAAAAACTCGAATCCTCTTGAGTTGTGGCTGAAAATCTGCTTAAAAGCATCAGTGGCCAAAGCACGGTCGAGGGCACGGCCGTGCTTTGCCTGACTCCGCCCGTGCCTCGGCCAGGGCTTAATTACACGGCCAGCAGCTGCTGGAAACACGGCCGTGCTTCGCGTTGGACACGGCCATGCTTCGGTGGAACACGGCCGTGCTTCGGTGCCCGTGTTTGCAACTGAAATTGCCAAACCGAATTTGCTCTCGGCATAAAAAGCACGGCCAGCAGTACACGGCCGTGTAATGCCTTGGGTCTGCCCGTGTTTTGGCTCCATCTCACCGAAATGACTTCCGAATGCCCCGAAACTCGCGCTTAGCCTTCCCTTTGACACCTGGGACCTGAAACATGACAAAATAGCACAGCCCGGCGTAAAATAGGCCACAACACACGACTATGCCCCTCAAACGGATAAGAACTAGGGGCGCAAACATGTGCAATTACATCGTTATCAAACTCCCCCACACTTAACCGTTTGCTTGTCCCCAAGCAAACCTAACTCAAACCAATGCAACTCTCCAGACCTTCATAGCAACAAACAACCCAGATCGTAAGTAGAGGACTTCCTAGGTCATTTAGCAGCTTACGAGGTCAACCGACGCACAAGTCATCTCATAACTTCTTCGGCGAGTCGGCATCATGGCAAATAGTGAACAGAGGACAAATGAGTTGTGGATGAAGAGATTCTCTAAAACAAAAGATCATGGACTCACATTTTTTCAAGGTGCTCTATTTTCTGCTTAAAGATGGTTGGAACCCCTTTTTTTTTTCTGTTTTGCTTGTTTTCTGTTGTTTTTCTTTTCTTTTCTTTTCAAGGGTCCCATCCTGCTCTTACCGGCCATGCCAGGAGCGGATGTCTCGAGCCTCGTGCGGGGGAAAGACATGTAAGGGGGCTGGAGGTAGTAGGTGGAAATTGGGAACGGATTCCCGTCTCCCCTTACACACTTTCGCCCTATTCACACGGGAGACGTTTATTTTGAAGCACATTTTCGAGCACCTGTTATTTTCAAAACATGACACAAGAGTCCATGACAGGCAGAGAATCCACAACACCACACAATTCAAGGGTCCTAGGATCACTAATTCACTCAATCAACCAACACAATATGAAGAAGAAACGAGACTTCTTAAATGCATCAACATCCTCCATAGTGCTACACTACCTCCCTAGGTTGCATATTACTATAAAGACTGTCAATTCAAAGCATACTGAGCAGGCAATTGCATGGAAACACGTACTTGGAGCCCTCAAATTTAAAAATTTGGACAGTGGACTAGGCTCCAAGCACACAAACAGATCTAATGCAGTTAAAGATAAACATCCCCCCACACTTAAGCTCGACATTGCCCTCAATGGAGAAGAGGGAAGGATAAGGGAACGATGTTACCGGTATGCACGGACTGCAGGGGACTGGAAACGGGCCAGTCGGGGCAAGCACAGCCAAAGGGAAACAGAAGAGCTCAAACACAATATGTTAGGTTCAATGGTCAGCCCAATAAGATATCATCCAAAACAAAAGAAAACAAACAAACCCAAACCGGGTGACAAACCGACTCAAAACTCAAGAAAGAAAAACAAACCGTGGTGGGGTTGCCTCCCCACAAGCGCTTCTTTACCGTCTTTTAGCTGGACGCCCATGGTGGATACTCAGGGCGGTGCAGGAACAGGTGCCTCCAAGAGCGGATCCACGTCGCTCTTGAGGTACAGCTTCAGGTTGTGGCCTTGCACCCGACGGATGCGACCACCCTCATCAGTCAGCTCGACCTGCCCATCTGGCAAGATGCAGGAGAGCGAGTACCCAGACGGCCAGGGTGGTCGTGGTGCAGGAGGTGGGACCAGCTCATAGTGGTCTCCACTCTTCTTCCGTGCAGGCTTAGCAACCTGCGGCTTCGGCCGCCACTCCTCCTTGAGCTTTTTGTTCGGAGGCGTGGCTGGATGGAGTGGCGGCGAAGGAATGATAGGAGGGTCCTGCAAAATAGGAGGTGCAGAAGGATACACGACAGGCTCGTGTACCTGATCAGACATAGCATGCACAGGCGTGACATCAATCATAGCACAGTGATCAAACTCAGTCACAGAAAAAGTAGCCTATTCATCCCCAGCACGCAGTATCAGTTTACCATCATGCACATCAATTAGTGCCTTGGCGGTGGCAAGAAATGGCCTACCTAGAATCAAAGGCACATCCACATCCTCATGCACATCAAGAATAATAAAATCAATAGGATATGTGAATGTACCTACTTTAACAAGCAGATCCTCAATGATACCCTTAGGATGCAGGATAGAACGATCAGCTAATTGAATGCTCATCCTAGTAGGGCTAAGTTCACCTAGGTCTAGCATTTTATACAACTTATATGGCATGACGTTAATGCTAGCGCCTAGGTCCGCCAAGGACTTTCCTACATGCATGCTGCCAATAGTAAGAGGGATAGTAAAACTCCCTGGATCCTTGCGCTTCTCGGGCAGCTTGTTCTGCAGGATAGCAGAACACTCCTCACTGAGCATCACTGTCGAAAGATCCCCAAGTTTCTTCTTGTTGGTGCAGATATCTTTCATGAACTTGGCATACTTGGGCATTTTCGACAGTGCCTCCATGAACGGTATGCTGATGTTGAGCTGCTTCAACATTGCCATGAACTTGGCAAACTCAGTCTCCAGCTTGTCCTTGTGTAGGCGAGTGGGGAAGGGAAGCTGGGGTACATGCTCCTTAACCACTGGTTGTGGCTTGGGAGCAGGGGCTTCCTTCTCCACCCGCACTTCTGCATCGTCGGCTGGAAGTGCTGGAGCAGGCAGTGGTTCCTCCTGTCTGGCCGGGACAGGATCAGCAGATATGGTCTTACCGCTCCTGGTGAAAATGGCATCCAGCTGCTGATGCTGGTGAGGATCTCGAGGATTAGGAACAGTGGTGGCAGGCAGAGTCCCCGGTGCCCTGGTAGTGTTTTGCCGGGCCAAGATGCCCACCTGGGTCTGCAGATCCTGCAAAATGGCACCCTGGTTTCGCTGACCTGCCTCCAGTGATGTGATAGCAGCCTGGGTGCTAGTCATGAATGAAGCTAGAATGTTTTCCAGCTTCGTCATCCTGTCGTCTGGGGTCGGAGCTGCTGCTGGCTCGGCGAACTGGCGCTGGGGCTGCTGGAATGGCTGCCCCTGCCTGGGCTGGTAGGGCTGCTGTGGGTCTGGCCCCTGGCGAGCCTGGAAGGGCTGCCTCTGCTGAAAACCACCTGCTGGTGCTGGGAAACCAGGTGGTTTAGTGGTGTTGCTGCTCCAGGCGAAGTTGGGATGCTGGCGCCACCCCTCATTATATGTGCTACTGTATGGATCGAGGCGCCGCGCATTGGCGATGAAAGCCAACTGCTCCTGGGGTGTGGTAGACTCCCTCATAGCCTGGCAGTCCTCCACTAGGTGATTGGAGCTCTCACACCACTGACATTGAGCTACTGGAGGTGTAGCCAAACCTCTGCCTGGAATCAGACTGTTGGGCTGCTTCAATGTCTGCACTAGCTCAGCTACCTGCTGCTCGAGCCCGGATCTGGTCTCCATGGCGTGCACCCCACGGTCCCGGGACTGTCTGCCTCGGCTACCCTGTCCCCAAGAATGATCTCTGGAAGCCAAAGTACTGATCATCTGGTTCAGCTCGGGTGGAGTCTTAGTGAGAATATCTCCTCCTGGGCATAGAAACTCAATCACCCTCTGGCTATCTGGAGAAAGGGCACTGTAGAAGTTCCCCACTGTGAATGCATCGCTGAAGCCATGATGGGGGCACTGCCAGAAATAGCCCATATACCGCTCCCAAGCATCACGAAGTGACTCCTCTGGCTCCTGGCGGAAGTGAGTGATCTCCCGCTGAATCTCTGTAGTCTTCGATGCCGGATAGTACCTGTGCACGAATTTGTCCGCCAGATCGTCCCAAGAGGTGATGGACAATGGGGGCTGGGTCTCCAACCACCTCTTAGCATTCCCCGCCAGAGAATGGGGGAAGAGATGAAGGCGGATCGCATCATCCGGGACACCATTCAGCTTGAACCCGTTTGTCAGCTGCAGAAAACGGGAAAGATGCACCCTGGCCTCCTCATTCTTCAAGCCATGGAACTGGATAGAAGATGTAATGAGCTGAATCCAGCATGGCTTGATCTCGAAGTTGTTTGCTGGGATAGGCGGGTAGAGGATGACCGGGCGGATGTCAGCAATCCGCGGAGTGTAGTAGTACTCCAATGTGGGACCCGGCTGCGGTGGATGATGAACTCCATGATCCTGGGGTATGGGGTTGTTCCCCAGGACCTGATTCACCGGGGGAGCCTGCTGAGGATTCCCCTGGTGTTGATTGTAGTCTTCCATCTCGTACTCCTCCTCAGAATCACTGCTCACGTGGCCGTCTATGCGCTCTTCCGTAGCCAGTCTAGCTCGCTGTTGTCTCCTGAGCTGGCGACAGGTGCGGTCAATCTCTGGATTCAACGGCAGTAAACCTCCTGACTGGCTACGGGTCATGCACTACCTGCACACACTCAAGCAAGCAAACCCGTGAAGGCACAAGTGGGACAAAGCAAACAAAGCAAAAGGAAAAGCTAAATTAACAGAAATCACTTTTCTTCAACAACCTAGCCGTCCCCGGCAACGACGCCAAAAACTTGACTCGACTCTACTGTCACTCCAGGAATTGGCCAAGTGGAACCACTCCCTAAAGCGTAGTATAGCGGGTTTGGGTTTAATTATCAACCCGGGTCCTAGATTTGATGACTACTCAGTGAATTCGTGTTATCTAGCAATGAAACTTTAATGCAGGTTTAAACTAACAAACTAACAAAGCAAGTAAACTGGTTGTATTCAGGTTAAAGAGGTCACCCGGATATGGTTCCCCCTAGACTGCAGTTAAGCCGGATTGTAATTACCAAGTTCAGTTTCTATGAAAGTTATACTGCGGAAGGTTCTTAAACAGCCTGAAGTCTCGACTAAAGGTCTTCAGACCCTCTCAATCTGAGTCTCTAGCGGGCGACTAACCTCCACCGGAGTAAACAGATTGAGGCCCTAAGAACAAAACCTCCGCTACCGGAGTAAATCCGGTACAGAATAGTGAGTTGGCTCCTCGACTAAAGTCACCAACTCCCTACCTTCAATCAAGGATACTCTATTAACCTAGGCAGATATTCTCATTCTAGGTTAAAGCAGAAACAACAGGAATTTGATCAGGATTCAAGTCATTCAATCATTCAACCTCAATCGAATATAATCAAATCATAGAATCAGTACTTGGGTTCATACAATCAAACCTAACATACAAATCTAGGGTTCTCCATACCCAGATGAATGGGAGAACTACTCCATAGAGAAGAAAGCAAAAGCAGAATCAGACACGGAATTCATACTGCGAAGGGTGGATTCCTGCTTCTGGACGTTGATTGGCACTTCTCCAAGCTCAAGCTGGCCTCCAATGGTGTTGAAGATCAATCTAGGGCACTTGGGAACTCTTGCTCGTCACTTTCTCTCTCTAGAAGTCGTTCTTTCTCTCAAAAACTCGAATCCTCTTGAGTTGTGGCTGAAAATCTGCTTAAAAGCATCAGTGGCCAAAGCACGGTCGAGGGCACGGCCGTGCTTTGCCTGACTCCGCCCGTGCCTCGGCCAGGGCTTAATTACACGGCCAGCAGCTGGTGGAAACACGGCTGTGCTTCGCGTTGGACACGGCCGTGCTTCGGTGGAACACGGCCGTGCTTCGGTGCCCGTGTTTGCAACTGAAATTGCCAAACCGAATTTGCTCTCGGCATAAAAAGCACGGCCAGCAGTACACGGCCGTGTAATGCCTTGGGTCTGCCCGTGTTTTGGCTCCAGCTCACCGAAATGACTTCCGAATGCCCCGAAACTCGCGCTTAGCCTTCCCTTTG